AAACTGAGTAAAACATACAAAATCAACAAATAATTAAATGTATTTTTAGAAGTGAATGAAGTTGTAAATTTTTGAAAAAATTTAAAATTTTAAAATTATTTCAATAAATTAAAACAAGACAACAAATGCTTATTGTTTTTTTTTTTTTGAAAAATTAAAACTTACAATCTATAGTTTTCATAGACACTTTTTTGAATAAATAATAAATTATCGTCAAGTGTTCCGGTGACATAAAGAAGTGCTGCTTTTAATCGTGTCACATAAACATTCTTGGAATGCAAATATTTCATCGCTTCGTTAAGTTTTTCTTGAATCTGTAACAATTTTTTTTCAATTAATTAAATTAAAATACTTAAATACTTTGAATTAAATAAAAATTTAATTTCAACAAAAAAAAAAGAATTCAAATTTGAATAACATACATTTTCGGCTTTACTTTCGATGCTAAATCGTACCGGAAGGTTTAGCATCAATTGTTGACATTTTTTTACATGATCTTCATCCGTAATTTGTTTACATTTCCGGCATATAATATTTACCGGTTCAGAATCTTCCGTAATGATCAATGCTTCATCACATTGTTCATTCATACAACGTATTGATGTTAAAATATCATCCGAAGGATCCATACAACGATCACATTGACAATCAAAATACCTAAGATAGATTATATAGCTACCTTATCAGCTCATTATCTTATCATTGCTATTTAATTATCATTATCTTTTCCTGAACGAATATTTAATTAACATCGTCTTTTAATGAACGAATATTTAATTGTCTATGTCATTTAATGAAAAAATTTAAATATTCTCAGCAATAACATGGCATATGGTGTAATTGATTTAAATTTTAAATATTTCTAAATGTTTAATTCAATTGCTAACAATGAAAAATGGAATCGTTGATCTTTGACCTTTTGCATTAATTATTTCATTCCAATAATTAATTAATTAATTGTTTCATACAAATGAAACAATCTATGCAAATACCATTTTAATTTCAGCACTTTTTGTCGCTGATATCGTGAACAACCAATGTCAATATAACTTATAAATGCTTTATGAATATCAGAAGCGTTTGTTTCTGAGTTAATGGCCTTAGATATGCATGAAAACCATCAAAAACTAATGAACAATTCGGACGACATGAATGATCGTATGCGGATACGCCTAAAAATCATTTCAAACTTTCGATAATTCCAAAAAAAAAAAAAATTACTTTTCCATATTTAAATTGAAATTTTAAATTCAAGGAAATATTTGTTATACCATTTATTTTAATTTATAATTTGAAAGTCAAAGGTCAAAGAGTTATCATATTTGAAAGCACTCTAAATCTATTAACTTCTAATCCCTTTCTCTTTTTTTTTTTCTCTCTCTCTCTTGTCCTGATAACATATTG